TCAGAAACCCGGGGTGATGTGACTACTTTCTATAGTTTATTAGACGCAAAGGGAGCAGCGTCTGATAGCTTCTGATCTACTTTCTTAGTTTAGTGAGGGGTAGGCAGCAGGTTGGATCAGTGTCTGATTACTTTCTTATTCTACTCAGGACGTTGGCACAGCGTCTGGATCAGCTGTTGATCTACTTTCTAAGTTTATGAGGAGCAGGCGCAGGGCTGGATCAGCTGTCTGATCTACTTTCTATGTTTAGGGGACGCAGGCAGCAGCGTCTGGGTCAGCTGTTGATCTACTTTCTATAGTTCTAGTGAGGGCGCCCCGGGGCGCGTCTGGATCAGCTGTTGATCTACTTTCTATAGTTCTAGTGGGCCGGCAGCAGCGTTGGTCGCTGTTGATCTCTTTTTATAGTTCAGTGAGGACGCAGGCAGCACGTCTGGATAGCTGTCTGATCAAATTTTTATGTTCTAGTGAGGACGTAGGCAAAAAGCGTTTGGGTCAGCTGTCTGATTACTTTCTATAGTTCTATCAGGAGAGGGAGCAGCGTCTGGATAGCTGTCTGATCTACTTTCTATAGTTCTAGTGAGGGGCCAGGCAGCAGGGTTGGTAGTGTTGACTACTTTCTTAGTTTATGAGGCGCAGGCAGCAGGTCGGATCAGCTGTTGATCTACTTTCTATGTTTTTAGTGAGGAGCAGGCAGCAGCGTCTGGATCAGCTTCTGATTTTCTTTCTATAGTTCTAGTGAGGGCGCAGGGAGCAGGTCTGGATCAGTGTTGATCTACTTTCTATTCTGTGAGGGCAGACGCAGCGCTGGTCAGCTGTCGATCTACTTTCTAAGTTTGTGGGACGCAGGCAGCGGGTCTGGATCGTTTGATTATTCTTAGTTCTAGTGAGGACGCAGGGACCCGCGTTTTTACAGCTGTCTGATTTCTTTCATAGTTCAGTGAGGACGCAGGGAGCGTCTGGATCAGCTGTCTGACTACTTTTTTTAGTTCTAGGAGGACGCAGGCAGCAGGGGGTGGATCAGCTGTCTGATTTTTTCTATAGTTCTAGTGAGGACGCAGGGAGCAGGGTCTGGATCACTGTCTGATCTATTTCTAAGTTCTACTCAGGATAGGCAGAGGTCTGGTCAGTTTGTTCTACTTTCTATAGTTCTACTCAGGACGTAGGGAGCAGGTCGGATCAGCTGTTGTTATTTCTATAGTTCTAGTGAGGACGCAGGCGGCAGCGTCTGGATTTATGTTGTCTACTTTCTATAGTTTTAAGAGGACGCAGGCAGCGCGTTGGTACTGTCTGATTATTTCTATAGTTCTAGTGAGGACCAGGGAGAAAAAAGGGGTCTGGATCACTGTCTGATCTACTTTTTTAAAGTTCTAAAGAGGACCACAGCAGCGTCTGGATCAGTGTCTGATCAACTTTCTATAGTTCTAGTGAGGACGGGCAGCAGCGTTTGGATCAGCTTTGATCTCTTTCATAGTTTAGTGGTGGACCAGGCAGCAGCGCCGGATAGTGTTGATTACTTTCTATAGTTCTAATGAGGGCGCAGGCAGCAGCTCTTGGGTCAGCTGTCTGATCTACTTTTTTATAGTTCTAGTGAGGACGCAGGCAGCAGCGGGCTGGGTCAGCTGTCTGATTTACTTTTATAGTTCTAGTGGGACGCAGGCAGCAGGGCTGGATCAGCGTCTGATTACTTTTTTAAGTTATGAGGGGGCAGGCAGCGGGTCTGGATCAGCTGTCGATCTCTTTCTATAGTCTGTGAGACGCAGGCCGCAGGGCTGGATCAGCTGTTATCTACTTTTATTTTCTAGTGGAGGGCGCAGGGGACCGTCTGGATCAGGTCTGATTACTTTCTATGTTCTAGTGAGGACGCAGGCAGCAGGGTCTGGGATCAGCTGTCTTCTACTTTCTATATTCTAGTGAGGACGAGGACAGGGGGTGGACAGCTGTCTGACTACTTTCTATATTCTATTAGGACGCGGCAGGCAGGTTGGATCAGCTGTTTATTACTTTTTATAGTTTTTTGTGAGGACGCAGGCAGCAGGGTTGGTCAGCTTTTTTGTTCTTCTATATTCTAGGAGACGCAGGCAGCAGGGTCTGGATCGCTGTCTGATCATTTCAAGTTCTAGTGAGGGGGGGGGCAGCAGAGCGTCTGGATCAGCTGTCTGATCACTTTTTATATTCTAGTGAGGACGCAGGCAGCAGGGTCTGGATAGCTGTCTGATCTACTTTTTTTTTTTTTTTTTTTTTTGTAACTTTCTTTTTTTTTGCCCTTTTCCAAAAAGGGTTTCAGCAAAACTTTTACACCGAAAAAAAAAAAACCCAAAAAAAACAAAAAAAAACAAAACAAGGTAATTTTTAAAGATAATTATGCACACACATAGGGTAAAAATCAGCAGTTCGGATGTCCACCCGGCAGCAAAGCCCCTCTCTTTCAGTCTTTCAGACACAAAAAACATGACATATCATTCAGATCAGGCAGGACCATAATCTTAAACACAAAGTGGCAGCTTCAGTTTTTCACGGATTAATCATTCAGAACTGTGTCAATGTAAGGGCCCCATACTTTCAAAAATACCTCCTGTCTATTATTCATTTTAGAAATCAACTGTTCATAATTAGCAACCTTGGTCATCTCCCCCAACCATTCATTAAATGGGATGTTGTTTTTTGTTTTCCAATGCCTAAGGACAATCCTGCAGCCTGTAGTAAGGGCAAGTCTACACCATAAAGTTTGCTGAGCTGACAGCTTTACCCCTTCCGTTATTATCCCTAATATACAGAGCGCAGGGCATCGTGATAGCTCTATTTTGAATATTTTATTGAGCAATATTATTATATTTTCCCAGAGATTCCAAGTCATTTGGCATTCGTACAACATGTGAGTAAGTGTACCTCTATTCCTATCACATCGCCAGCACATATCCGATTCCCTCAATCAACCTTCAGAGGATCTCCATCTGAAGTTAAGTTATTTTCTCTGTGATATCTCTGTATCTAAGTAACTCTAACTGACTACTTTAAAACATAGCACCTTCTGCTGCACTTTTCTACTGAGCACTTGTCAGTTTCACACGGTTTTATTTTCTGATAGCAAGAAGTAGCTAGCCTAGGCTAGCGCTAGCTTAGCATTGCTATGGCTTCTCTCTCTCCCTCCCTTGACTCTTTTCCAACTCTTCCTTCTTCCTCTCCTCTCTCCTGCTCTCTGTGTCAGATGTTCAGTTATTCCTCTGCCTCCTTTAGTGATAATGGGATGTGTAATAAGTGTAGTATTTTTGTAGCTTTGGAGGCGAGGGTGTCAGAGTTAGAATCCAGGCTTCAGGCTGTTGAAGTAGGCCCCCCACGTAGCTGTCCTCCAAAAGTGCCTGAGCAGCCAGGCGATTGGGTAACTGTACGCAGAAAGCGTAGTCGTGGATCTCTGCCCACTGGTCACCACCAACCCGTTCACGTTTCTAACCGGTTTTCCCCACTCAGTGACACACCCACTGAGAAGCCCACTCTGGTGATTGGCAGCTCCATAGTCAGAAACGTGGCATTAGAGACACCAGGGACCATAGTCAAATGTTTGCCGGGGGCCAGAACGGGCGACATCAAATCCTACCTGAAACTACTGGCTAAGGATAAGGTTAAATACATAAGATTGTTATTCACGCTGGTGGTAATGACACCCGGTTACCCGAACGGAGTCACTAAATTAGTGTTGCTTCGTGTGGTAAGTTTGCCAAAAAAATGTCGACAGTCCGTAAATTTTCTCTGGTCCCCTCCCTGATCTGACCCATTGATGAAACATGTTTAGCCGCAATGTCGTCAATCAACCGCAGGTTGTTCCTATGGTGGCCCGCAAACAACGTGGGCTACATTAATAATTGCAATCCTTTTGGGGAAAGTGCCTGTCTGATTCGGAGATACGGCAAACCATCCCACTTTGGATGGGTGCACGCTCTCTTCTTTCTAGTAATCTGCCACATTTATTAGTCCTCCCAAAACCCTGACCACCCAGGGTGCAGACCCCAGGATGCAGAGTTGTAGTTTAACACACATCCTGCAGCTTTCTCTACTGTTACCCACTCTTTACTCCATCCAGACAGTGTCTTGCCCACGACCAAAATCTAATAAATTAGCAAAGATTCCCAAAGGAGTAAATCATGATAATCTAATTAAAATCAAAATAACTCCAATTGGGGAAAAAGTTAAAACAATTAAATGCGGTCTGTTTAACATAAGATCGCTTTCCTCTAAAAGTCTACTAGTTAATGACTTGATTTGTGATAATCACATTGACTTGTTTTGCCTTACAGAAACCTGGCTGCAGCAAGAGGATTATGTGAGCATAAATGAGGCAACTCCTTCAAGCTATTTAAATTTTCACATCCCCAGAAGTTCTGGGCGAGGAGGAGGAGTAGCAACAATCTTCCAGTCTGACTTACTGATTACTCCCAAAACAATTAATACCTACAACTCTTTTGAACATTTAACCCTTAATTTCCCTGATCCAAATTTCAAGGCAAGAAAACCTCTTCTTTTTGTAACTTTGTATCGTCCACCAGGTCCTTACTCTGAATTTTTAGGATGATTTTTCAGAGTTTCCTTTCTATTTGGGATTAAATACTGACAGGTCCATCATATGGAGATTTTAACATCCATGCTACATTGAAGGCGATAGCTTAACAGCACCTTTAATGCTATCTTAACACTATTGGCTGGGGGGGTGGACGAGGGGGGCGGGAATGTGAAATCCCACGCATTCCATCTTCATACTTGGATCTTGTGCTGCGCGTACAGCATAGACATGTGAAGAAATACACAGTATTCCTCACGAACCCTGTCCTCTCTGACACTTTCTATAACCCTCAGGAGTGTACTTTAACAGAGTTCTCCGCCCCCAAAAGAAGTTCAATTTTAGTAGAAAAAAAAATTTCCTTTTTTTTTTTTTTTTATCAGAAGTGCAGTTTTATAAATTTTTAAAGAATCTCTTTCACATTCTCTCTGCTCTGAGTCACTGCGTGCAGGCGAGTGCAGAGGTGCAAAAGCTAGCTTATTCCCCTGTCACAGGATTGATGATTTTGTTGATGGGGTTGCTAGTTCTCTGCGTATTGCCTTAGACAACGCAGCTCCTTTGAAAATGAAAACCGTTAAAAATAGAAAGCTTGCTCCTTGGTTTAATGCAGAGCTGCGTACTTTGAAGCAAAATGCTAGGAAACTGGAGAGAATATATCGCTCCACAGGCCTGCGAGAGTCCTTCCTAGTCTGGAAAAATGGTTTACTGCTGTATAAGAGGACCCTTTGTAAAGCAAGAGCAGCATACTTCTCCTCATTAATAGAGGAGAATAAGAATAATCCTAGATTTCTTTTTAATACAGTTGCCAAACTCACCCAGAGCCATAGCTCTGTTGAACCGTCCATTCCACCTGCTCTTAGCAGCAATGATTTTATGGGATTCTTTATAAATAAGATTGATCTTATTAAAAATAAGATCATAAGCACTCCTCTATCCGCGATTGTACCTGAGGTAGTCATGGAATCTGAACCGGGTTTAGACTGCTTTGATCCAGTTGAACTCTCTGAATTAGCAAAATTATTGTCTTCATCTAAGCCTTCAACTTGTATGTTAGATCCAGTTCCAACCAGGTTATTTAAGGAGGTATTCCCTTTGATCTCCTCCTCCATTTTAGATGTGATTAATCTATCTCTGTTACAGGGATATGTACCTAAAGCTTTTAAGGTTGCTGTAATTAAACCTCTGCTTAAGAAACCGTCTCTTGACCCAGATGACTTGGTCAATTATAGACCTATATCCAATCTTCCTTTCTTATCCAAAATTCTTGAGAAAGTAGTTGCCAAACAAGTTTGCGATCACTTCCACCATAATGAACTTTTTGAAGAGTTTCAGTCTGGCTTTAGAGCTCATCATAGCACTGAAACAGCTCTGGTGAAAGTCACTAATGATATTCTCATGGCCTCAGATAATGGACTTGTATCTGTGCTCGTCCTGTTGGATCTTAGTGCTGCATTTGATACAGTTGACCATAATATTCTTTTAGAAAGACTTGAATATTTTGTTGGAATTAAAGGAACAGCACTAGACTGGTTTAAATCTTATCTATCTGATCGAATTCAGTTTGTTCATGTTAATGATAGATCTTCAACACGCTCAAAGGTTACCTGTGGAGTACCACAGGGATCAGTGCTAGGACCAATTCTCTTTACTTTATACATGCTCCCAATTGGTAGAATTATTAGACAGCATGGGATTAATTTCCACTGTTATGCTGATGATACCCAGCTATATCTGTCTATAAATCCAGATGAAGCTAACCCATTACATAGATTACAGGCATGTCTTGAAGACATAAAAACCTGGATGACTCTTCAACTTTCTGCTTCTGAATGCAGACAAAACAGAAGTTATAGTCTTTGGACCAGAGTCTCTGAAAAAGAAACTGATTAGCCAGTCACTTCATTTGGATGGGATTAAACTGATTTCAGATAATAAAGTAAAAAATCTTGGTGTTATTTTTGATCAGGACCTGTCATTTAAATCCCATATCAAAGAGGTTTCTAGAATTTCCTTCTTTCATCTGAGGAACATTGCAAAAATTAGAAATATCCTGTCCAGGGGTGATGCTGAGAAACTAGTCCATGCATTTGTTACTTCAAGGCTGGACTATTGTAATTCTTTACTATCAGGAAGTCCACAAACTGTAGTTAAAAGCCTTCAGCTGATCCAAAATGCTGCAGCCAGAGTTCTAATGAAAATTAAAAAGAGAGATCATATCTCTCCTATCCTGGCTTCTCTTCATTGGCTTCCTGTTAAATCAAGAATAGAATTTAAAATCCTCCTTCTCACATATAAAGCCTTAAATGGCCAAGCTCCATCTTATATCAGAGATCTGATTGTTCCTTATGTTCCTAACAGAGCACTTCGCTCTCAATCTGCAGGTTTACTAGTGGTTCCTAGAATTTCTAAAAGTAGAATGGGAGGCAGATCTTTTAGTTATCAGGCTCCTCTCCTGTGGAACCAACTACCAGTTTTAGTCCGTGAGGCAGACACCCTGTCTACTTTTAAGGCTAGGCTTAAAACTTTCCTTTTTGATAAAGCTTATAGTTAGAGGTGGCTCAGGTTATCCTGAGCTATCTCTATAGTTATGCTGCTATAGGCTTAGACTTTTGGAGGACATAGGGACCCCCATTTCATCATTCTGCTTCATTCTCTCTCTGTTCTCCTATTCTGCAGAATCTGTTAGTTCAATCTCTAACCTTCTGCTCTCTCTGCTTTTCCTCAGAGTAGCTTTGCCTCGTCTGTTCCTGTTTGGCTGTGACGTCATCCTGGAAAGAAACATCAGCTGTGCTGCTTCTATCAACACCCTTGTTTATAGATGTTGGAGATCGGCCTGTTTTCCAGTGTGGTCCTGTTTCTCTGACCGTGACTGAGTGGATGTGCTCTCTTCGTCCTCTGGCATGGGAGCTGCCTTGGAGCTCGTCTGCCTGGCTGTGTGTTTCCTGGACGGGGCCGCCTTTTACAGCTGCTTTTTGTATCTCTGCTTCTGGTCTCCTTGAACCCCAGTCGGCCTTCAGCAGATGGGCCTCATCACACTGTGCCAGGTTCTGCTGGAGTTTCTCCTGTTAAAAGATTTTCCTCTCCACTGTCGTCTCACAAGCATGCTTATGTGAGTTATGTATTTGAGTCTATGATCAATGCAATCAAAACTGTTTTTCCTTTAGATAAAAACTTTGTATCAATTTATATTTTTTAATTACAATTATTCAATTTTTTATTCTAATTTATTTTATTTTTTTTTTTCAATTGTTATATTTTATTTTTTGGGGGAGGGGGGGAGGGGGGGGGGTGGAGTGGGGAATAGGGGTGGGGGGACTGTATGATCTGGTTGAAACTGTAAAGTGCCTAAGATGACATGTTGTTGTGAATTTGGCGCTATAAAAATAAAGCTGAATTGAATTGGAATGAATTTCAATCTTGCCATTTTTTGCAGGCAGTCCAGTAGCTCCTATGAAGGATCCTATATGTATTTAACTGTGTCTGAACTTCCCTCGATGTCTTAAACCAGGACCCCAACAATTCCTCTCCACGTTCTCACCCGCTATCCCAACCCATAATCCTCTCTCCCAAGCACTCTTTGAACCATCAAGCCTTGTGGTGAGATTGGTCTCAATTAGAACTGTAAAACCTGGATGTCCTGCCCTTAACCATCAAATTGCTCTGAAACAATTCGTATCACTGTTGTGAGGATTGAAGTGTTCCCTTTGTACTGCCATTATAACAGCTCCACCAATTGAAGAAATTTCCAAAAATCTCTCTTAGAAATTTGTATTTACCATCAGCCTTTCAAAAGACATTAAAATATCATCCTTGAAAAGATCCTCAAAAAAGATAATATACCTGCCTGGAACCAAGTCCCTCCATAAAAGTTTTTTTTATCCACTTTTATTAGATTGTTATTCCCAAAGGAGGTGACTTCATGGTACAGAAGTTTTTGACTCCTATACCTGGTGTGATATCTCTCCAAGTTTTCTCTCGCAAACATCACACTGGATTTTCTAGTTGAAAAGCTGTCTCCCCTGTCAGTGAGATAAAGGCCTGTATTGGAAGAGGCTCAACAAGCTCTTTTTTCAATTGCGAGACCCATCCTGGACTTGATTTTCACCCATATAACTTTTGGATAACTGCTTAAGAAGAAAAGGACATAGTGAGAACCAAATCCACTCTCGTTAAGCATAAGACCCCCATCCTCCCTTGCTGCCCATAATTTTGTTTTGTTGAAAAAGAGGTCCTTTTGCTTGCCCGTATTAAAATAAAAAGTATGTATCGTCTTGCGATACCTTCCAATAACAAGGAGGAAACTCAAAGGTAATAAATAATTGTGAAATAATTAATTTGTGGATTACTACCAATGATTTAGGATGTTTATTTTTCCCAACAGAGATAGCCCTACATTTGGCCCATTTCTGCAAGGTACTCTCAATTTTCTGAAAAGTGGGAGAAATTTTCCGACATTAATGTTTTTTAAGCCTGGTAAGCTTTATGCCAAAATACCAAGATCCTGAAGGGAGCCATTTTAAACTGCCAATTTCCCGCGGTTGTTCACCTAATATTTGGTGGACATAGGTTTAGACCAAGGCATTGCCTCTGACTATCCCCCAATTACTTTATACCCTGAGATAACGAGAGAGGAGTCAATCAGTGAATAACATATGAGGGACAGCTGTTCTGGATTTGTATGTTAGCACCAAGACTTCATCCTGCCCGTACAACAACAATTGTGTTCCGTCTCCTGCTGAAATGCGCCTTCGATATTATGTTATCGTCTGATGGCAGCGGCTAATGGTTCCAAGCCAACAAAGATTAGTGGCTCAGGGACATCCCCTGCCTTTGTACCCCTCGTAAAGGGAAAAGTAGGGGACATACCCTCCCATTTGTTAATACTGAGAACCATTGGGTCACAGTACAAAGTTTAACCCAATTATAAATATGGATCCTAATCCAAACCTGTGTAGCGTCCTACAAAAATAGTATCCCCATTCTACCCTATCGAACGCTTTCTCGTCGTCGAGGAGAATCAACCGTGGTTCCGTACTATTTCTTTCCTTCCAAATCAAATGTAATAACCTGCCAACGTTTATCTGCAGAAATAACGCCCTTATAAAACCTCTTGATCTGGATGAATCACTTGTAATGTGTCTCTAGTCTCTAGCCAGAATCTAGCCAATATTTTGGTTATCACAATTTATCAAAGAAACTGGGCGATAACTTCCACAATGTTGGGGGGTTCTTGGCCTTTTTATGTAGACATGTTATTACACATCTGCATACTTGTGAGGCATGCTCCCTCTTTTCAGGGCGTCCCCGAAGTTGTTTTAGGGGAGGGGGGATACAGTAAGATACTTGGTGCAATATGTCTGAAAACTCCTTGTAGAAATCCGTCGAAAAACCGTCGTCCCCAGGGGACTTTCCCAAGAACTCAGTCTCTTTATAGCTCGTTGACCTCCTCCAATAAATATCTCCCTGAAATCTCCCTTTGTGGTTTCCTCAGACAGAGTCGGCAAGATTACCTGAGACAAAAAATTATCTAATTCGTCTGGTCAGTGGTACATTGTGATGTGTACAACGTTGGTAAAATGCTGTAAACACTTCATTAATCTCCACCTTGTCTGACACTTAAGACCCCATTCTCATCTCTACTGCGTTATTAATGTACTATCTTATAGTTGTTTTTACCCTATGCCAAAATCCCCCGCTGCCTCCCCCTGCTCATAGTACATCTGTCTACACAAAAACAGTGCTAATTCTGCCTCATCTGTAGTATAGTGTCCAGTTCAACTTAAGTTTGTTTAACTGCAAAAATACCACAGCAATTTGCTGGATGCATTCACCTTTCCAGATCTTTTAATTTTTTCCCCTCTAATCCTCAACACGACTAATAGCTTTTTTTTTTCAAATAAGAGCAGTGTTGTATCAGACGACCCCTGCAAAAAGGGCTTAAATGCATCCCACTCTACACTATGATTAGAAGTTGACCCTTCATTAAATTCCAATAATCTAGAAGTTTTCCTTTTTAATAAAGTCACGGGACTTCTCATTTTGGAGTAGAGATGTATTGAACCTCCATGGTTCTAGGGTTTTCAGATATAGGCCAAAACTTAACACTGCTTCAACCGTGCGGGATCAGACAACAATCAATATTAACCAATTATGCATTCACGGTCATGCCCACTAATTGTTTTCGATATTAAAAAATATCTATCCTTGAGTATGTGGCATGTGGGTAGAGTAAAAAAAGTATACTCCCTATCTGGGGGGTAATAGACCTCCAGATGTCCGACTAAGGCCCAGTTCCTCTTCCAATGATCAATTGCTAATTGGGATTTTCTGAACCTGTTTTGGTATTTGTGGATTTAAATTTGACTTTGTCCAATGCTGTTTCCTTACGCTGATTAAAATCCCCCCCAATTATTACATATGAATTCCCATTTTTGTCACAATGTTACAAATTCAGTGAAAAAAACCTGGGCAATCTATATAAGGGCATAAATATTAACAAGGAGCACCTAATACCACAAAGGTCTACATCTATCGCCCACCTCACAACAGCCATCCCTTTCGGATTGTTTGTGTATAATAATATTGAGATTCCTACGGATCAAATGGCAACGCCCCGCTGTTTAGATGAATAGCACTAAAGAATGTTTTACCAACCCAGTCCTTCGTAATTTAGTAGACTCTTCGTTATCTAAATGAGTCTCCTTAGGAAGCATATATCGCCCCTCTTCTGTTTTAGATACAAAGAAGCTTCTTCCTTTTTAAGCATGATTTGTCCCCCTTTATATTCCATGATATCACTGTTAATCATTCTGCCATTATTCCTTCATTTTTTTACCTGATTTGTCCCTGGTCTTTTTCTGGTCTGGTCTCAAAGTGTTTGTGACAAGGTTTTTTGCAACCATGCTTTGCGCACCCGCCGCAGATTCCCTCCCCGTCGCTGTAAATGTAACCAACATGTGAAACACACACAAAAAAACACAAAAATAGAAATACAAATACACAAATGTGGTATCCATCTAGAACAAGACCGGCTCTCCACAACCTCCATTCTCAAACGAAAAACAAAATATTACGTCCGTGAAACTCAAATCCTGGCCGAGTTGGCTGCCCCCCCCCCCCCCCAACATCATCACTGTATCTCTTCCTCTTTAACCGAGTCTAAAAGTGAATTCAGAAACTACTGAGATATAACCACCATCTTCTCTCGTCCTTTAACCTATAACCTAGACCTTTATGAGGAGCCCTTTTCTTAAACTAAAACAAATTCTAAAATAATATCATGCATGGGTAATTAGTTAAATTCAAAAACAGAAGAAGGAGAAAAGGTGGAAAAATCATAAATAAATATTGCAAAGAGAATAGAGAATGAAAAAAAGAAAAACTAGACATCTCGTGTCTATAATTCCACACAGGCCTCAATTTAAAAGAACAGGTCATCTAAAATTGTAATTTTCTGAAATGAGTATTACCACAGCATGCATTTTTGCATTACATGTTTATAATGGTCCCTTCTTCCTTTAATATATACTATAGTCCTCACTGTTTATCAGTACACTTTATATCCTAACCCCGAACAAACCCAAAGTGCATTGTCCCCATAAACTTCTTCGAATAACATTATCCAAGCATTAAGCAGCAGGATTTCAACTAAGACCCGATCTGTCCTAAAATAAACAAACGTGAGGTGTAAATTCAGGTGCTGCAGCTTCATGTAAACAAGTGGACCGTAATCGCTCTGACTTCCACCTATACTGTTACAGTTCTACTTTGCCCGAATGTCCCCTTCAGTCCATCCTGGATAGGTTAATCCGCTGGTGGCTTGTAAAAATCAAAAATAAATCCACCAAAAAGTTCAGTCCGTAGGTCATCAATGATCTTCTCCCAAATAACGCTGGAATTTTTATTAGATCCTCATAGAAATAAAATCCCGCCACCTCCTCTGGCGCAGCAAATGTGGTGTCATACGTTTTCGACCACAAACTCTCAGTAGGCCGGTATTCCATGGTGTACCGCAGCCCCTTCTCCTGTAGCCGTTTTCTTCAAAGCGCCCACAGCACATCAAACTTCTTGCCCTCTGAATAACATCCTGCGAGAGATCCTGAAAAAGGATAAGCGTTTGCCTTGCCACCCAACTCTTCCTTTTCCCAGCCGCCCGCGCACTGCCTCCCGTTCTCCGAACCAAAGAAACGCACCAGTAGGTGTCAGTCCTCTGCCGCCTCTCCGACCGGCTCTGTGGCGCGCTCGATTTCCAAATCCCGCCGTCCCGACATCCAATTCTTCGTAGAAGCTTCTGCTACAAACCTACTTGCATTCTCGTCCTTCGCTCCTTCTGTAAACTCACGATACGGACGTTGTTGCGGCGGCCGCATCTTCAGGTACGTAATTTTCTCCCTGGAGCTGCGTATGGTCTTTACAGCCACGTCCAGACGTCACTCCCTCTGGTTTGGCCTTGATCTTCAGGTTGAAATCCGGGCCCCAGCCTCGTTCACCGGGCCCCTAGTTTTTTCTCTGCAGTCTGAACAGCATCCATGCCCGATTCTCAGTCCACTCATGTCCGACGCTGATCCCCAGCAGCTACGTTTTTAATTGCTCGCTAATTCCGCAATTTTGTTGTTTTTTTTTTGGGTATCTGTCTGATTTCCGATGTTGGGCAGCCGCCATGTTTCCTTCCATTCTTCGTTACCGCTTCGCTTCCTATGCTTCTCAAACGTACTGTGGTATGGTTGTCTGGAAACTCCTTGCATTCTACTCCGTAATCACAATCCTTGCCCGAGCCATTTTTTTATATGTAGAATGGAAAAAAAGTATTTTATGGTGGGACGGGGGGGCGCGTTTGCAAGTTCTCCTCTACGCAGCCATCTTGGGTGTTCGCTCACCCAAGTACCCATTGACACGTCTGATCCTACTTCTATAGTTCTAGTGAGGACGCAGGCAGCAGCGTCTGGATCAGCTGTCTGATCTACTTTCTATAGTTCTAGTGAGGACGCAGGCAGCAGCGTCTGGATCAGCTGTCTGATCTACTTTCTATAGTTCTAGTGAGGACGCAGGCAGCAGCGTCTGGATCAGCTGTCTGATCTACTTTCTATAGTTCTAGTGAGGACGCAGGCAGCAGCGTCTGGATCAGCTGTCTGATCTACTTTCTATAGTTCTAGTGAGGACGCAGGCAGCAGGGTCTGGATCAGCTGTCTGATCTACTTTCTATAGTTCTAGTGAGGACGCAGGCAGCAGCGTCTGGATCAGCTGTCTGATCTACTTTCTATAGTTCTAGTGAGGACGCAGGCAGCAGCGTCTGGATCAGCTGTCTGATCTACTTTCTATAGTTCTAGTGAGGACGCAGGCAGCAGCGTCTGGATCAGCTGTCTGATCTACTTTCTATAGTTCTAGTGAGGACGCAGGCAGCAGCGTCTGGATCAGCTGTCTGATCTACTTTCTATAGTTCTAGTGAGGACGCAGGCAGCAGCGTCTGGATCAGCTGTCTGATCTACTTTCTATAGTTCTAGTGAGGACGCAGGCAGCAGCGGTCTGGATCAGCTGTCTGATCTACTTTCTATAGTTCTAGTGAGGACGCAGGCAGCAGCGTCTGGATCAGCTGTCTGATCTACTTTCTATAGTTCTAGTGAGGACGCAGGCAGCAGCGTCTGGATCAGCTGTCTGATCTACTTTCTATAGTTCTAGTGAGGACGCAGGCAGCAGGCGTCTGGATCAGCTGTCTGATCTACTTTCTATAGTTCTAGTGAGGACGCAGGCAGCAGCGTCTGGATCAGCTGTCTGATCTACTTTCTATAGTTCTAGTGAGGACGCAGGCAGCAGCGTCTGGATCAGCTGTCTGATCTACTTTCTATAGTTCTAGTGAGGACGCAGGCAGCAGCGTCTGGATCAGCTGTCTGATCTACTTTCTATAGTTCTAGTGAGGACGCAGGCAGCAGCGTCTGGATCAGCTGTCTGATCTACTTTCTATAGTTCTAGTGAGGACGCAGGCAGCAGCGTCTGGATCAGCTGTCTGATCTACTTTCTATAGTTCTAGTGAGGACGCAGGCAGCAGCGTCTGGATCAGCTGTCTGATCTACTTTCTATAGTTCTAGTGAGGACGCAGGCAGCAGCGTCTGGATCAGCTGTCTGATCTACTTTCTATAGTTCTAGTGAGGACGCAGGCAGCAGCGTCTGGATCAGCTGTCTGATCTACTTTCTATAGTTCTAGTGAGGACGCAGGCAGCAGCGTCTGGATCAGCTGTCTGATCTACTTTCTATAGTTCTAGTGAGGACGCAGGCAGCAGCGTCTGGATCAGCTGTCTGATCTACTTTCTATAGTTCTAGTGAGGACGCAGGCAGCAGCGTCTGGATCAGCTGTCTGATCTACTTTCTATAGTTCTAGTGAGGACGCAGGCAGCAGGCGTCTGGATCAGCTGTCTGATCTACTTTCTATAGTTCTAGTGAGGACGCAGGCAGCAGCGTCTGGATCAGCTGTCTGATCTACTTTCTATAGTTCTAGTGAGGACGCAGGCAGCAGCGTCTGGATCAGCTGTCTGATCTACTTTCTATAGTTCTAGTGAGGACGCAGGCAGCAGCGTCTGGATCAGCTGTCTGATCTACTTTCTATAGTTCTAGTGAGGACGCAGGCAGCAGCGTCTGGATCAGCTGTCTGATCTACTTTCTATAGTTCTAGTGAGGACGCAGGCAGCAGCGTCTGGATCAGCTGTCTGATCTACTTTCTATAGTTCTAGTGAGGACGCAGGCAGCAGCGTCTGGATCAGCTGTCTGATCTACTTTCTATAGTTCTAGTGAGGACGCAGGCAGCAGCGTCTGGATCAGCTGTCTGATCTACTTTCTATAGTTCTAGTGAGGACGCAGGCAGCAGCGTCTGGATCAGCTGTCTGATCTACTTTCTATAGTTCTAGTGAGGACGCAGGCAGCAGCGTCTGGATCAGCTGTCTGATCTACTTTCTATAGTTCTAGTGAGGACGCAGGCAGCAGCGTCTGGATCAGCTGTCTGATCTACTTTCTATAGTTCTAGTGAGGACGCAGGCAGCAGCGTCTGGATCAGCTGTCTGATCTACTTTCTATAGTTCTAGTGAGGACGCAGGCAGCAGCGTCTGGATCAGCTGTCTGATCTACTTTCTATAGTTCTAGTGAGGACGCAGGCAGCAGCGTCTGGATCAGCTGTCTGATCTACTTTCTATAGTTCTAGTGAGGACGCAGGCAGCAGCGTCTGGATCAGCTGTCTGATCTACTTTCTATAGTTCTAGTGAGGACGCAGGCAGCAGCGTCTGGATCAGCTGTCTGATCTACTTTCTATAGTTCTAGTGAGGACGCAGGCAGCAGCGTCTGGATCAGCTGTCTGATCTACTTTCTATAGTTCTAGTGAGGACGCAGGCAGCAGCGTCTGGATCAGCTGTCTGATCTACTTTCTATAGTTCTAGTGAGGACGCAGGCAGCAGCGTCTGGATCAGCTGTCTGATCTACTTTCTATAGTTCTAGTGAGGACGCAGGCAGCAGCGTCTGGATCAGCTGTCTGATCTACTTTCTATAGTTCTAGTGAGGACGCAGGCAGCAGCGTCTGGATCAGCTGTCTGATCTACTTTCTATAGTTCTAGTGAGGACGCAGGCAGCAGCGTCTGGATCAGCTGTCTGATCTACTTTCTATAGTTCTAGTGAGGACGCAGGCAGCAGCGTCTGGATCAGCTGTCTGATCTACTTTCTATAGTTCTAGTGAGGACGCAGGCAGCAGCGTCTGGATCAGCTGTCTGATCTACTTTCTATAGTTCTAGTGAGGACGCAGGCAGCAGCGTCTGGATCAGCTGTCTGATCTACTTTCTATAGTTCTAGTGAGGACGCAGGCAGCAGCGTCTGGATCAGCTGTCTGATCTACTTTCTATAGTTCTAGTGAGGACGCAGGCAGCAGCGTCTGGATCAGCTGTCTGATCTACTTTCTATAGTTCTAGTGAGGACGCAGGCAGCAGCGTCTGGATCAGCTGTCTGATCTACTTTCTATAGTTCTAGTGAGGACGCAGGCAGCAGCATCTGGATCAGCTGTCTGATCTACTTTCTATAGTTCTAGTGAGGACGCAGGCAGCAGCGTCTGGATCAGCTGTCTGATCTACTTTCTATAGTTCTAGTGAGGACGCAGGCAGCAGCGTCTGGATCAGCTGTCTGATCTACTTTCTATAGTTCTAGTGAGGACGCAGGCAGCAGCGTCTGGATCAGCTGTCTGATCTACTTTCTATAGTTCTAGTGAGGACGCAGGCAGCAGCGTCTGGATCAGCTGTCTGATCTACTTTCTATAGTTCTAGTGAGGACGCAGGCAGCAGCGTCTGGATCAGCTGTCTGATCTACTTTCTATAGTTCTAGTGAGGACGCAGGCAGCAGCGTCTGGATCAGCTGTCTGATCTACTTTCTATAGTTCTAGTGAGGACGCAGGCAGCAGCGTCTGGATCAGCTGTCTGATCTACTTTCTATAGTTCTAGTGAGGACGCAGGCAGCAGCGTCTGGATCAGCTGTCTGATCTACTTTCTATAGTTCTAGTGAGGACGCAGGCAGCAGCGTCTGGATCAGCTGTCTGATCTACTTTCTATAGTTCTAGTGAGGACGCAGGCAGCAGCGTCTGGATCAGCTGTCTGATCTACTTTCTATAGTTCTAGTGAGGACGCAGGCAGCAGCGTCTGGATCAGCTGTCTGATCTACTTTCTATAGTTCTAGTGAGGACGCAGGCAGCAGCGTCTGGATCAGCTGTCTGATCTACTTTCTATAGTTCTAGTGAGGACGCAGGCAGCAGCGTCTGGATCAGCTGTCTGATCTACTTTCTATAGTTCTAGTGAGGACGCAGGCAGCAGCGTCTGGATCAGCTGTCTGATCTACTTTCTATAGTTCTAGTGAGGACGCAGGCAGCAGCGTCTGGATCAGCTGTCTGATCTACTTTCTATAGTTCTAGTGAGGACGCAGGCAGCAGCGTCTGGATCAGCTGTCTGATCTACTTTCTATAGTTCTAGTGAGGACGCAGGCAGCAGCGTCTGGATCAGCTGTCTGATCTACTTTCTATAGTTCTAGTGAGGACGCAGGCAGCAGCGTCTGGATCAGCTGTCTGATCTACTTTCTATAGTTCTAGTGAGGACGCAGGCAGCAGCGTCTGGATCAGCTGTCTGATCTACTTTCTATAGTTCTAGTGAGGACGCAGGCAGCAGCGTCTGGATCAGCTGTCTGATCTACTTTCTATAGTTCTAGTGAGGACGCAGGCAGCAGCGTCTGGATCAGCTGTCTGATCTACTTTCTATAGTTCTAGTGAGGACGCAGGCAGCAGCGTCTGGATCAGCTGTCTGATCTACTTTCTATAGTTCTAGTGAGGATGCAGGCAGCAGCGTCTGGATCAGCTGTCTGATCTACTTTCTATAGTTCTAGTGAGGACGCAGGCAGCAGCGTCTGGATCAGCTGTCTGATCTACTTTCTATAGTTCTAGTGAGGACGCAGGCAGCAGCGTCTGGATCAGCTGTCTGATCTACTTTCTATAGTTCTAGTGAGGACGCAGGCAGCAGCGTCTGGATCAGCTGTCTGATCTACTTTCTATAGTTCTAGTGAGGACGCAGGCAGCAGCGTCTGGATCAGCTGTCTGATCTACTTTCTATAGTTCTAGTGAGGACGCAGGCAGCAGCGTCTGGATCAGCTGTCTGATCTACTTTCTATAGTTCTAGTGAGGACGCAGGCAGCAGCGTCTGGATCAGCTGTCTGATCTACTTTCTATAGTTCTAGTGAGGACGCAGGCAGCAGCGTCTGGATCAGCTGTCTGATCTACTTTCTATAGTTCTAGTGAGGACGCAGGCAGCAGCGTCTGGATCAGCTGTCTGATCTACTTTCTATAGTTCTAGTGAGGACGCAGGCAGCAGCGTCTGGATCAGCTGTCTGATCTACTTTCTATAGTTCTAGTGAGGACGCAGGCAGCAGCGTCTGGATCAGCTGTCTGATCTACTTTCTATAGTTCTAGTGAGGACGCAGGCAGCAGCGTCTGGATCAGCTGTCTGATCTACTTTCTATAGTTCTAGTGAGGACGCAGGCAGCAGCGTCTGGATCAGCTGTCTGATCTACTTTCTATAGTTCTAGTGAGGACGCAGGCAGCAGCGTCTGGATCAGCTGCAGCTGCCTGATGGACTTTTTAGGCAAACCTATGAAGACTCTGCTGCAGTGATCAATTCTACCATAGATAAATACATGAAGGAGTTTTTCTAGATCCTGCTGGACATTAGTCCTTTAATCCTGGAGATGTTGTTCAGGTGATTAAAGGCTGATTTAGTTCCTGCCTTTATGAGCCTCTGAAGGTTCAGATCTGACTCCATCACTGCACCCAGATTTAGAATCTGATTACTGGTTTCTAGCTGGATTAACTAAAACTAGGTTTGCTTTGCTTTGGTCCACAGTTTAGTTTTGATTAAACAGAAAATTAGTCCATATCCTTGCTTTGATTTGTTCTATGGATGATCTCAGTTAATTGTGGTCATCTGATGACATCATAATGTACAGCTGTGTGTCGTCTGCATAGTAAGGTTAAAACACTGTTGGTTATTGTTATCTAATTTAGGGGGAGAATGTAAATATAAATTGGGGGGGGGGGCAAACACTCACCCTTGGGATTGGATTTAGCTTCTGATTTAAAGTTACCTACTGACCCCTTCCCTCGTTTTGTTTATTTTAAAGCGGTCATTTATACTCTGTTCTGATCAACCCATAAAAAGCATTTTCTTTTTACAGTCAATGCACCATGTAAGATCAAATAGAAAATAATATTACAATGAAGAAATATTCCACCAGATTTAACTTCCATTAATTTTTAGTTCCTGAAACTATGAATAATTTGAATTCCAAGTTTTACGGTCAGTTCTTTATTCTTTCCTTTTTAAAGCTTCTACTGTTGATACTTAAAACATTTTCTTCTCCAGATTGAAACCAGCTCCTCCAGAATGTGTTGATATGTCCTTTGAAAAGGTGTGAAAGGGAACAGCGTGAAAAGCGAGGATGTGCTTCAGCCTCCATAATACCTTCGCTGTCTGTAGAAAGCAATGATAGATTTGCAATCTCAGTCACCAACTGTGAAGAGATTACAGCAGCTTTAACACGTGAGAAGGGAACAGTTGCTGAGCTGCAAAGACCTGTCCTGAAACCAATTGTAAAAACATTTCATTTACTCTTTCTGGAGATTCGCACGTTGCTGTAGAAACGGATTTCTGCTGCTTCACAGGATGAAAAATTTTACTAAAACATTTGAAGGATAAAGGCGAAGCATTACAAACTGAGAACGAGATGATAGAAAGTTTTAATTGAATGTAGGAAAGTTAAATGTTACCTGATCACTGATTAAACTTTCATTTTGTCTTTTTGTCTTCTTTACTTTTTTATTTTCATCGGATCTAACCATTTCTGTCTGTCTTTTATTTACAGCGTATCCATTGGGATCAGTTATGTGTTGGCTGGCAGCGAAGCCTTTGCTGCCCTCCTTCATATCAGGTGAGTTTTTAATGAAGAAAGAAATGTGAATTTTCTCAATTAAGGAACATTTTATCAAAATCAGACTTCAATCAGAATCACCTTTAATCTCTTAATTGATTTATTTTCCAGTTCATCATCAGTTAATCAAGTTAAAAAAGTTAATCTCGCTGTGTTAAAGCAGCTGTGCAGGTTAGATGAACAGAGCGCAAAGGTTTCCCCTCTAGGCTTTCTTTTAAGTCCATCATAAATAAATAAACATTGCTCGTCTTTTCCTAAACAGATATTTGAGATGTAAAGTAATTAGATATTTAAAAAAATATGTGATTGTAAAATGACACAATGGCTTCCCCAACGTCTGCTTTACCTTGTGATCAAGTGATGATAACATTCCATGATGTTGCAGCATAAAATCCATAAATTCTTAAACATTGTTGTATCAAGTATATTGACAATAAAAGGATTAGGAGAGGAGAAAGTAAACGAATGAAAGAACTGAGCACTGTTTTAGGCTGCAGAGGGGAATTTTCTTAAATCAAAATAGAAGACAGAGAATAATGTTGACGAAAGATAAAGTGGGAAATGCACCTGAGTGAAGTTGCCCCCCCCACCTTCTTCAAATCAGACAAAATTAGTGTCAAACGTTTGTGCAGCAATAATTTTCTTTTGTGCCGCTATCGTTTTAAAGATATAAAGAAATATTTCTAGAGGTCATGAAAGGTCAACCAGCCCCCCCCCCCCCCCCCCCCCCCCCCCACTTTCTTCAAATCTTCAAATCCAAAGCAGCACAAACGGAATTTTTGGCTGCACAAACGGAGCTGAGTTAATTGACACCCACTTCGTCTGATTTGAATGAGGTGGGGGGGCTGGTTGACCTTTTGACCTTTACATTTTCCTTAATATCTTCAAATCCAAAGCAGCACAAACGACAATTTTGGCTGCACAATCGTAGCACAAAAGTTTGACATTAATTTTGTCTAATTTGAATAAGGTGGGGGGGCAACTTCACTCAGGTGGGAAATGCTGTTAAAGAGGTTTGTGAATTATATATTCTAGATAATCCATATTTTCACTCTTTCCTTCCTTTTACATCATCTCAATCACTCAGTCCAAATACATGACTGTTACGTTAATTAGCATATCTACATTTTCCGTAGGTCAATTTAAAAGATTAAACAACAATATTTTCTTTTTGGATTCAGTTTTTTTAATGAGTATGCAAACAAAAATATTTTTGCATCCAAAAGCTCGCAGTAAAAAGTGATGTCTTGCACAGCTATAAGCGTTTATTTCATTAGAAATAGTTTTGATTTCCAGCATCTTAACCAGTCCTATCCAGACTGAGCAGCAAACCTGCTGCTAATAATGAGTTTTATATCGAACCTTTTTTATTTAGGCAATGAAACTAACAAACTCCATAAAAAAAATAAAAACAACCATGGCTCTTCTGCTTTGAATAGAATGAGCCGTTTCAAGGATGGTCCACATCTCATGGGACAGTTGATTCATTATGGCAAAGTTATTCAAGGTTTATAAAGGATGTAGTTTTTAATGAATTCATTTACAACAATTTCACGGTTAACACAATTAGTTTGTTTTAATTGAATGACGGTTAACATGGAGGTCCCCGTTAGTTAATAACAGAACAGACACCTTGTCTTTACAGAAAGGCTCCTCCTGGTTGTATTTGGGTAACAGCTGTTCTGCTCTTTATTCACCAGGTACATCAATTTGCAGCGGCAGATTTAGACAGACGGAGGTCACATTTAACTTCACTGATGGTAGAAAAAAAAAAAAAAAAAAGGTCCATCTGTAACTGTGATTTTGATTTTCTCTACTATAAACAAACGGCTCTATAATAGTTTCCTTTCACATCTGGCTGATCAGCTTTCTGGTTTCTGTGGACCTTGTTGTTGTGACCCGGCCAATGTTGGACCAGATGTTGCACCATTTTAAAAAAAAGAGTCCAGCCAACATTGAGGCTTCATAAGAATCTGGGAAACCTTTAAATGTTGGACGATTTCTGAATGTTGGAATGAAAATTCCTTAATCAAAATCACCCCCTATTTTTATCATCTCACCACTATACGTAATCACGTGCTTGAAAGTTTCAAACCCCCCTTTAAAAAAAAAAATGATAAATTCACGCCATTAATTAAAATAAACAAAATCTTTTACATTTAGAAACGAAAATATTTATTTTGAAAGCTACTGTTCCATTATTAGGTTTTTAAATCTTTTTTGTTTTAAGAAAAATGTTAGAAATATTTGGGAAAATTCAGCCCTGTTCTGGATAATGTTAGACAAATGTTTCAGAACGATAGAACACTGCTCAATTTTTTAACTACCAAAAATACAGCGCGGGTTTAAAGATTTTTTACAGCAGAGCCTTCAAAACGGCCCTTCCCAGTTAAAAGCCATGAAGGCAGCCCCTTCCCTTAGTCCCACAAAAACCCCCCCAACTCCCAACACTGCAGGACCCCGGGATTTCATATTTTTTTACTCTTACCCCCCTATCATTGAATTACATGGTCTGACCAGGAGATGGCGCTTCTCTGTAGATCTGAATGTCCACAAATCATGACAGGAAGAATATTTAGGTACAAAGATTGATGTTTAAAAAGAAATTGTAGGGGACCAGCCAAGGACCAGCCAAAGAAAGTGGGGAAATTGTAAATGGCTACTTCTTTAAATTCAAGCTTATTTGAGGATGAAAACGGTTCATAATCTGTTTAGCTGCCTTACTCCTATAACTCCCAGACTCCACATCCTCCATCGACCCTCCGCCCCGTTTACGTACGTGGTGCGGAGCACTTGTGCTGTCGTATTAATCAATGAAAACTGTTCCCCATCCCGCTACTCATCTGTACGTCACCGTCCGCGTACGTCTTCTCCATTCGTCACTGTTAAAATATGGAGCAGAGCTTTTCTTTGCCCCGGCCAGGTCAAAATCTGCCATTGTTATCGCGCCAAACAGGAAGAAGAACAGTGAGAAAATCTGGTTTGTCAAATTCAAATATTGCAACGACAGATTGGTAACTACAAATTAGAGCATAATTATTATATATTCCAAAAAATAAGACTATTTAATGAAATTATTGAATGCAAAGTATTGGTACTTCAACAAACAAGGAAGCAGATTTCTTATCTTAATCAAAAAGAGGCTTAAAATTTACATCAAATCGATTCACAACAAACCTCCAAGAGCACACCCACAACTTCTTTTATGATTGAACATTATTGATCTCACATTGGAGAAATTCACTCTTTTCAATTAACCCATCCCCTCCATCCAGAGTAGAAGAGGCTGAGATGGTCTTTGCTGTTTGAATGGTGAAGCAGAGGGTAAAAAAACATAAATCCAGAAATAACAGGCCAGGAACTCAGGAAGCAAAAACTAGAGATGCTCAGGAGAAACAGACAAGAAGAACTGAAGAGGATCCAGCACTGAGGGACTGCAGAGGAGTATATATGGGAGACAGAAAGGAATGGGACAGTAGGGGGCATCAAAGAGTAACCAGGGAAAACAGGACTCTTAACTGGAAAATAACTTAAATAAGACTAAAGTGGAATAAAACTAATAACTTTGAAATAAGGAATAAACGAGGGGAAAGCTAAAGGATAAGAAAAGGAACTGGAGATAACTGAAGCTATGAAAAACCTAAACTAAAGATAAAAGGATGAATATTTCACCAAAACTAGACCTAGAATAAATTATAGGGAAAACACTGAAGAGAAATAACAAGAAAGAGTCAAACTAAGATGATGTTAATATGATATAAATCTTGACAATACAGAATATTATAAAATAAAGCATAACTCAGAACGAATATAAAAACTTACACAGAACCAAAAAGTCCAGAGTGGCCGAATATGACATCGCTTAAAAACTAAAATAAAAAGATTTCTTAGCATTTTTAAAACCATAACATATGAAGATGATCCTGTAGAGCGAGACTCTGAGCCTTTGCCGATTTTAAGAAACAATAAAAAGACCTTTTTAGCAGACTATACAGAGACGGGAAAAATATCCCACTTTGTGTTTATTTTATCTTCTATGATGATGATGATGGAAACAAGGCTACATCACAGCCATGCTCTAATGGATTTTTATTATTCTGTTTTTCTAAGAATGCCATGTTGCACTCGGTGTTTGCTCCTTGCTGTGGAAGAGGAGCTTAGGCAGCTCAGAAAGCGTTTGAAGTCGACCATCAGAGACACCTTTGATGCTGAAATTAGACGCTAAATTTGGGAAAAGCAAATGAACGTGTGGTATACTACATATAGAGCCGGCTGCTTCAGATGTTGTTGACAGAAAGAAATCCTTTCATTTCAAAGTTTAAAGATGTACATGGATATATTAGATGTAAATGAATGTAACTGTATTTCTCATAGGAGCAGAAGAAAAAACATCTAAGTCATGAATAGAAAATATACAAAAAAACATTTTTTAAATATTTTTTCTGTCAAGTCTGCAATTATAATTTGTCTTTTATACACTGAAAAAAATAAACAAAACAATATAACTTCAGTGAAATCAAACTATCCGCTTATCAAGCAGCACTGTTTTTCAATCAATTCGTTATTGAGCCTTTATTTATTTCTGTATTGATTTTGAAATATGGCAGAGTTGGTCCTCCATACACCACCTCACCCAAAACGGAGAGTCTCTGGGATTTAATTATTGAACTTTATTAAATGTGATTATATTTCCAAATGCAACTATTACGCAGCCTTCCTGTGGACAAGAGTTTTCAAAGCAGTGAAAAGCAACGGAAACCAATGCTTCGAGATAAATAATAATCATAAAGCCTAACTAAAATACCAGCCTGTTAACTGGTGTATATTAATGTCAAATTTTTTTTTGGTTTTGTTTTATTTTGTTTGGAATGAATCTCTTTAACTGTATATAACTCTAAATACAATCGTATGTTTTCTGTGCTGCTTCCTATGTTGGCCATCTTTTTTAATTTTTTTTTCTGTGCATCTAACATACTGTTAGACAGCAGTGCATTACTCACAGTACTTGGCACAGTGTTTGTTTAGAGTGATTAAACCTAAAGAATACTGAGCTGATCCAGAGTAAAAGCTAGAGAATGTTGTAGTGTTTAAACTCACAGTTGGATTATTTGGGTCTCCTCTAGTGATTGCTGTTTCTCCCCTCAATTCACACCTCCTCTTTCCCTCCCAGGCCTATAATTACCTTTATCAGTTAACGGGGCTAATTTATTTTGTCATGCCCCAGTAAATCCTTTACCCAAATAATATTATTCACACTCTGCGGGACGGTCGGACTGCTTCGTTGGCACGCTCGGGTGCTTCATTATCAGCATGCTAAGCGCCAGGGGAGATGCAGCGATTTGTTGTGGGAGTAGGAAGGCAGGGTTATTGGAGTGAAAAAATCTTGGGAGGCCTGCTTCGGATAAACCGTTTTTTTCCTGCTTCTGGAAGGCGGCAGTCAGCAGTGTCACAGGTTTCTGTGCAGAATCACCGCCCCTCTGATCCACCTCTTTAGGGCGGAAACCTCCTGGACGCAAACCCCACCGAGCTACAGAGGACTGGAAGTATTACTGAGTGGTTTAACCTGAGCATCCACTTCACTGGGATTTATCCTGACTGTTATGTGAATTTTAGATTTTAAAAAGTCAGGATTTTCCCCAGAGCCTGAAATATAAGAGGATTAGGAAACAATCTTTAACCAGCAAATATCAGTTAAATCTCCTGTGTTTAATTAAGATGAAACCGAGCTCAGCCTTATCTCTACAGATGGTGAACTTAGTAATTTAACTCCTCTTTAGACTTTCAGCAGCATAACTTTTTATGCTTTTCTTGACTTTATGTTTTATGTCATATGAAACAACTTGTTGGTGTTAAATCAAAAATCTTTGTAGGAGACTTCAAAATGTTATCAATGTGTTTTAGATTGTATTTTAACTTTTATGCAAAGCTTTACGTGTATAATATACAGATAGTTTCTGAATGTACTTCATTTGATGGACTCCTTATTTCTTAATGCAGTGTTTCTATTTATTCACTCAACAACATCAGCAGAATTTTATATTACTCACAACATTAGAGGAAAAGTCTGTTCATCAAGGAATAATCAGTGGATCTTTATTTATACCTAAAACTAATACGTTCACGCTGATTTAATGAATTTAGCGTTAATCTGTAAAACAAATGAAAAAAAATTTTTTTTGTCGTGATCACTGAGTCTTGGAGCGGCCATTTTTGCCCAAATATAGTAGCCCCTCCCTCCTGCCATCTTCCAGCAGTGACGTCACGGTGCGGTAAGCCTAGCGCCATTCTCCCCGCTTTCCAAGCTAAATCAATGGGAACTACTAGACACATCTGCAATCAACAACAATTATTGAAGATTTCCAGAGGACTTCACCATTGAAATTCACCAGAGCTATAGTGAAACTGACAATGCCCACGTGCATGGCAGCTGGATGCTGGAATACATCGGGTAAAAGTGAAAAAAAGAGTTATTCCACCTTTCTGATTCCTGATCCTCCACGGACGGGTTGGTCGTTTTCAGGATGACTTGGATAATAGCGCGTTGTGACGAACACCAGATACAGCACTGGGACTTGATCAACAGCCGATACCGCACCGTGACGTCACAAACCAGTAGGTGGCAGTGGTTTTCTTTGACAAACATGGATGCCTCCAGTAAAGCACATTCACATGAAAATTAGTTAAAACTTTAAAAAAAGAAGATTTGGCAAAATATGAGAAATATGAAAAAAAAATGATTTGATCTTATCTATATGAGATCAGATCAATTACTTAAAGATAGATGAACGGATGGACGCGGAGACTTTATTGCTATTTCTTAGGCTACGTTCACACTGCAGCCTGAAGTGACCCAATTCCGATTTTTTTGCCCATATGTGACCTGTATCTGATCTTTTTATGACAGTCTGAACGACACAGATCGGATTTTTTCAAATGCGACCCAGGCCACTTGGATATGTGGTCCTGAATCCGATACGTATCTGATCTTTTCAAATGCGACCTGTGTCTGTACGGCCAGGTCGCATTCATCCGACCTACACGTCATTGATACTTGACAAATGTTACAAATGTTACTAATCTGCGTCCTACTAAGCGGAGGCGGGAAAAACTAACAACCATGGCGGAAGATAACACAGAGAACAGTCAATGGAGAGAAAGTGAGGTTGCTGACTTAATTCATATTTGGAAAGATAGCTCGATTCAGACCAAACTCGAAGGGTCTTACCGGAACCGGGGGAGGGTCTTTCTTTTTGATCTTCTTAAAAAGATTTCGTTCGTAATGTGCCTGCTCCTGTTGGAGAAGAACTTAAAGAACGCAATATACGCTGCGGTATTACGAGTCATGTTTACTTCCGCAAACACTGAGGACGCTTGCTACATGTGACGTCATCGCGTCCTGGAGTGCGCATGCGGGACACTTCGGTTGAACGCTTTCAGTTCACACAGTAGATCACATACAAGTCGCATATACTTGGAAGTGTGAACGGACACGCAAAAAATCCGATTTCACAAAAAAATCGGAATTGAGCATTAAGGCCTGCAGTGTGAACGTAGCCTTAGTTTTTGAAGCTATTTTTGCAGATATTGTACACTAATCCCATGTTCTTAGCACCTTTAAAATGATCTGTCTTTTTCACTTTCCTGCACTATCCACTTAAAAACAGTTCATATAATAAGTTAACATTTCTTAAATCAAGTTTCCTTTCTCTTAATTGCAGCTGGTGAATGGAGGAACGCTGTTGTATGTTGGATAATCAAAGCTACAGCATGTAAAGTTCAATATTACGACAGAGTATCAGGTCAGGCTAGAGATTTTTTTCTTCTATTTCAAGAATAAAGTTGTAATATTATGTGAATAAAGTCATCATTCAACAACCCGTTTCAGAAAAGAAGCTTGGAGCTCCGCCCAGCAGATGACGGCCAACCAGCTCCACCAATCAGCAACCTCCACTTTGACATCCTGCACAGTTTGATGCTGCTGCTAAAAGATTTCCTGATTTGTCAAATCGATGCTAAAGTAGAACTTCACATGAAAGAAAGGGCTTCTGGTAAAAGTTGTCATAAAATACGACTTTATTCTCAAAATAGAAGAAAAAAAATCTCTAGCCTGGCCCTAATACTCCATCGTAGAGTTGAGATTTATCAAAGGTGGCGCTTATGACTTTCAGACCCTTAATGAAGCAGAGGGAGGCATACCTGCAATGTAGAACAACAAACTAAATTTGAATTCCTTGTGAATAATAAAGTTTTTTTCCATGTGCTTACATGTCTCCACAGACACATTTACGTGATCCCGGCCTTCACCTGGATTCTAACACTTGCTATTCTACTTGCTCACACAGTCGTTCAGCCGATCACTTCATTGCTCACCCTCCTGAAGGGAATTCTGCTCATTGTTACGGTAACTGGGATTCTCCTCATTCTTTTCAATCTTAGTTTGCCATTTTTCAGACTCAATGTTGTGCTGATAAAAGATGCTTCTTCCAGAGGAAGAACTGATGGGTTAAGCATGAGAATTATGATGATTACGGCTTTGCACTTTCAACCAAATGTAGACATTGTTTCAACGTAGATCATTTCATATTTTTTATGTTTTTGCAACCAATTTTTTGCATGGTGGGAATTACTTGATGGACATTAACTTAGAAGGAATTTCTCTCAGTGTCGTTATTTTATTGCTGTCCACTAAAGGGCGTCTCCATCGATTCTCATTGTTATTTGCAAGAGAAGTAATGTGAGAACGGAGGGTGGCACGCAGAAAAAGCAAAAACATGAATTGATCCAGAATCTGATCCAGGATCATTTTCACTAATTAATGGCAACAAGGATGTAAAATGAACTTTATGTGGTTCTGTTTGCGAATATTAAAGGCATTGTGGAGGATTTTCACAACTATTTTAAAAGACCCGCCCTCTCCACTTCAAAAACAAAAATGCACATGCACAACCCTGTAGCCGCACAGAGAAGGAACGCCTATTAAACGCATGTGAGAGCGTGCACGAGGAGAAAATGGCTTGAGCACGCTCTGTTTGAAGTTGCTGTTCTTAATGCTCACACAAGTTTACTGTGTCTGACTGTCCGCCCTAATCCCTAAATCCCGCCATCACTATATAGAGCGGGGACTAAATAGTGAACTTTACGGTGAAGTCGGACAGATGATCACTGCTTTTTTGTCCCCCATTGGTCACATAACTCCTCCTCCACCGCGCAGTGCCTGCGCCATCTTTGTTATTAGTCGCTGCTGTCAGGTACCGACAGTGGGCCGCTGTGACAGCAAATCCCAGAATGCTTTGCATGGAGAGCTCTCCTCGCAAAGCATTCTGGGATATATCTGCCTCTTCTGAGGCCTTACTTTTCTTCTCATACACTTCGTAGACACTTTTTCTCTTACAATCCTCGGCCATTTTCAAAGAACCGCGGTGAAAAAGGTGAGCTTCAATGACTGTCTGAAAGAGCGCATAATTGACAATTAGAGAACCACTTATTTAGATGATCCACTCGGAAATAAAAGATTGTCCTCTCTACCTTTAACTTTGGATAAACTCCTTACTGTAAGTTATTGCTTAAATCGCGTCCATTCTGACCTGCTGCATGGCAGAGCAGCATAACTTCTCTGCTGTGCTTAAAAGGTGAGGGTGTGATGATAGATTAATGGGGCCAGTATGCAAAAACTTCTGCAACATGATAGAAAAGACGTGTCGGTAATAAACACGGTAGAAGCAGAAGGCTTTGTCAGTTAATAGATTTCATAGAGCCAAGTTTGAACCAGAAACATTTCCCCCGTTTAAAGGGGCGGCGAGCTACACAAACGTTCTCCCAGCCCTGATTGCAGGATTGCACTAAAAACAAAGAGCTAGATCGCGGTTAGCGTCTGACAGCATATCAGAGCGACATACCCTGTCTGTTAATTAGTTATTTTTCCCATATTTTACTGATCTTTTTTCATTCAGTAACCTAGTAGGCTGCTATTTTGTTAGAGCTAAGAAATAAGTTTAATCATGTGTAAGAAAATGTTTTGAGCTTTTTCAGTCAGTATTTTATACAGTGGATACAGTAAATTGTTCAAATTTAATGAGGTTTTTAAATTCATCTCATTCAAAAATAGTATTTAGCATATAGTATTTAGCATATAGTATAGTATTTACAAGTGAAAACCTTTGTCTTTTCTTTTAAAGAAAATGCCAACTTATCAATTAATTAGTTGTTCTACCTGTTGCATTTGACTTTCTGCAGATAAGGATTTCTAAAGGAAAGGTGTGCAGTAACACGTCTATATGAGATTTCTTCCTACCGCCAACTTTTAGTGGGAAAGCTGCACACTATTTTAAATACACGCCGCCGCTGTAGTTACTCTTTGTTACATGCGATTAGGGGTGGGTATTGGCAAAGAAGTCACGATGCGATTCTATCACGATGCATCGCAATACTTGAAATATTGCGATGCATTGCGATATTTTCACTGAACACTGTAAGAAAAAGATCCAGCCCTTACCAGTGTCTGACTGGCTGGGTATGATCTGGATAGTTTCTTCAATTGATGCATAACTGAAAGCAACTGAATTCATACATAGTTGGATTTATTGAAACGACTTTTGGAGGTGTTGCCATGGAAACAAATACTGGACAGAAATATTACTATTACTGGTGTGGACACGATGACAAAAAGATCTTAGGATTCATCAAACTTAAAATAACAAAATAAGGATAATCAGTGCCGTTTACATGGCCTCAGTGGTCCTTTAGACCAATGAAATGAAAACATTCGAATGTATGACATTTCCTCTTTTGGAAATGACGTGCATCATATCAATTTCATTTTTACCTTCTTTGTTTTTAAAGCCAAAATGCATCCAAGCATCTATCTTGAAATGTGATGGAGCCGCGGGGCGAATTTTCTCAGTGTCCTCCATGTTTTGTTTCATATGAGTCGGCGCAGTATCCCGCGGCCGAACATGCTTGTGACACAAAGCAGCGGGCGTCAACACATCCGCAGTGACATCTGCTGGACTGGAAGTTGTATTCCACTTGATTTGGCTGATGTGCGCCAACCATAAATTTATTTTATTTGTTCATTTTTTTTTTTTTATAATCGATTCTTGCCTTCAAGAATCGATGCAGTAGATCACAAAAATTAGAATCGCGATGCATTGATATGACAATTATTTTGCACACCTTTGGATGTGATGCAGCTGGTGTTACAAACATTTATCTATGAGGAGAATTTACAGTTTGCTTCAAGATCAATACAATATTGTCAATTAATACAGTAAGGGCCGGATCTATCAAAGGTTTGCGTGTATAAAAACGTGAGCTATTTCACTGCGCACGCTAAAAAATGTACAAACTGATCTATCAACAGCGTGCTAAAAGGATTTGGTCTTTAAAACGTGCTAAATAGCGCCTCTTATCCATTTAGTACTTTTTCTGCAATGAATATGCAATATGGGGCGTTTACACGCAAAAGTGCGTCTTGTGGGAGGTGAACATGTAAATATATTAATTTAGCACTCGCAAAGTGATTTATCAAACCTGAAAGCAATTTTGCTAACGGTATCTGACTCTATATTTAACACGTTTCAAAAGAAGGTGCAAATGGTCTGTATGCGTAATTGCGCACACATGGCAGCGGTTATTGTCGCAAGAAGGAGACATCGAAATGAAGCAAGGAGACGCAGAGAACGCATTTTTTCACTCCGTGTGAATATTTTTGGAATGAACGAGGAAACGATCATCAAAACATATCGTTTATCCAGCATTGCCATTTTGGAGCTGTTGGGGGAACTCCGAATGGATTTGGAGCCAGCCACAAGGAGGACCCACGCAATACCAGATATCACAAAACTCCTTGCAACGTTGCACTTTTTTGCATCTGGGTCAGTGAAGTAGAAATTCAGCCACATACCACCTTAAATAATAAAGGTTGCCAAAGTTTTTTCTTTATATCACTGTAAGATTTAAATTTCTTAATGCACTACTTTGTAGAAACTACAAACTACTTTGCCGCAAACCACAAAACGCGCAAAACCATCATTTAAATAGGGCGTCTCCAACAGTTTTGCACCTGCCACCAGTTACGCAATCGCTCTTGTTAAATCACCCGCAAACCATGGTCCAGCCCCTCGCGCAAAATTCCAGTTTGCGAGCGCAAATTACTGCACGCAAAATTGGATCTTGATAAATCCGGCCCTAAGTCTGACACAACATTTACATCAATCGCACACGTCTGGTAAAGTGTTACAACAGCTTCACTTACAGCCTTTTCAATGTTGCCGAGCACAGAGAAAATAATAAATAGACAAATCAGCCCAGCTGTGTCACAAAGTCCATGGATTGCTCCTTCATTAAAGCAGCACCCTGAGTTCACACTGTGCTCCACTGGCTTTCAGCACAAATCCTCCTGGATTTTGTAGAAAAGCGGTGCAACACTGAAGAGAGTTTCTCTGACTTTGTTGTTTCTGCAGTTTTTCCCCTTCATCCCTGAGAGACTCGTCTACCTGTGCACTAAACTTCTCTGTGATGCAAACAGCAGCAGACAAACCCAACATAGTGAGGCACAGCTGTTAAATACGGCTTCCATAGCTTAAAACCTAACAGCGAACGTTATTTAACAATCCCAGAATACTACTCAGTCAAAATGGCATAAGGTGATAAAAAGAAGAGTTTTTGATTAAATTGGTGTGTAGCAGTTCTACCTGTAAAGTTCCCTCTATTAACAGGACGCTATTGTTCTTTATGAAGTACTAAAACATTTCTACCAACTTTTTTTATTGAATATATTGTGCTTATTTAACCAAAAATGATCTGTTTGTTATAAAGTTCTGTTTTACTGTTTTAAATCCAACCTGGACCAGTTTCACTTTCCTGTGATAAACTAACATAAAGTACTGCATTCACTGCAAAAACTGATCAACAAATAAGGAAGAACGACTTAAAACAGGCATATTTGCCCTTTAATGACCGTGCAATGGAGAGAATATTTCTGCCTTTAAATCAGAAGTTTTTAAGACAGCTGTATGAATTTGGTTTTGCAATTAAATGTTTCCCCCCTCCGGACGATAAAATGGTGTGAACCGTGGCCTTCTTTCTGTCATAAGGGAATTCTACCAATGAGCTTTCATACTTTGAAGCTTAAACCATCTTAATCCATTCGCAAATTGACTTAACTTCAGCAATCAAGAGAATAGACACTAATTTAAAGAAAAAAATGACCTTTAATTTAATTTTAGTTGTTGTAGTGGGATTGAAAGCAAAATCTACATTGTGATCCTGCCACAAAAATATTGCATGCAACCAGCTCACTTCAGAAGTTGTTTTTTTTAACTGATAGAGTCCACCTGTTTCTAGTTTATTCTACCTATGAACAGCTTTTCTATGAAGGGAACAGAGCGTTGTTAGATGATA